GTCTAATGTTACAACTAATCAGGGATCCCTTTAAAGGTTTTAAGGATGTTAAAAACAGCTCCATTTGTTTTCAATGAAAAAAAAAACGTGAGAAAAAACTAAATATCTTAAAACGTATAAATTGCTGACATATCAGAAGCCATAGCCGGAATGTCGCCGAACGTTTTGATATAAAACTTGTTGAAATAGCATTAAAAGTAATGAAATGGACACATGTCGAACATGTAGAAGAATAAAAAGATGTGAATAATAAGAATGCTTTATAGGCGTTCACACAGCTGTAGACGTACATCCAACGATCATTTTCAGTAAAATTTGTCAAGTTTTTATGAGCTACGACACTAACAGACAAACATGTTTCTAATAGGATCAGAATCAGAGCATCACTGGATCACTGTGAGCAGCGTTGTGGCTGACAGAGGGGACCAGTAAAAACATTCAAGTTTGGCCCTTCAGCTGACTTCAGAACCACTGAAGTGAAACTCTATTACAGCCTCTCCATCCACGGTCCATCAGCAGCACACGCACCAGCATGTGTGTGTGTGTGTGTGTTTGGAAAGACGGGTTGCGTTAATGTAGCGTTTAAAAAGAACAAAAACACAGATTTTTTTAAACGTGCTGCTTTTTATGCTGACACCTGTTCTATGTGCACAACGTATGACAGCAGTTGTTGCTGTTTTTAAGGCGGTAGTGGGTCCCGTGGGTACGGATCTATCACGTCTCCCATCAGACTTAATCCAATCAACACCTCCAGAGAGTGAAGCATGGCTCTCATGTTTTATCTTACGTTCACAGACAGCTGCTGGTGACAAAATTAAGGAAACGGAGCAAAATATCATTCTGACAAATTTCCTTCTGCAGCCACACCAGCGCATCCTCACAGAGACAAATGTATGCAGAGGAATGGCATCTTTAAATTAAAACAATTTATTCCTGGTTGTGCTAATTGGGTATCAGATGTAGATATTTAGAGTCGTTCCAAAGATAGAGGAGAATAAAAACGTTATTATCATTGTTCCAGCAAAACGTAGCAGCTAGCATAAATTACCACTCACTCAGGGTTTCATATTTAGAAAAACTGTGAGAAAAAATACACAAAAATGAACAATTGTATTTTTCCAATAAAACGTATTATGAACAGTAAGTGCCAAAGAAGCTAAAACTGTGTTGTTAAAGCTAAAAGAAACTGCACACTACCTAAGAACTAAAAGAAGCAGAGCTCTAGATGTAAACGTAGCAAAATGCTAATATAATACTAGCTTAAAGCTCACAATAAAACTGTTTAAAACTAAAAGAAGCTTATTTTTAACTAAATGCAACATAAAGCTAGCTATGRCTAAATGTAGCAAAAGGCTGGTTAAATGCCAAATGTTGAAAAAGGTTAGCTAAATGCGAAAAGAATCAGTAGCTTAAAGCTCAAAATAAAACTTAAAATAAGCTGGTTATTAACTAAATGCARCATAAAGCTAGCTACAGCTACATTTTGCAAAATGTTTGTTAAATTAAAAATGTAGCAAAAAGCTAGCTAATTGCTAAGAATGGTAAAAAGCTAAGAGTAACAAAATGACAGCTTAGTTAGCTTATGACAGTATTAGGGGTGTAAGAAAATATCGATACACTGAAATATTGCA